CAGGGGGAGCCACTGGCTGGCCTGGGCCACCTGCCCCAGTGGAAGAACAGCTCTGTGTGGGCTGCAGGAGCCCGTGGCTGGCCTGAACGCTAGTGCCCTGCAGCAGGGCCGTGCCACATGGGCTCTGTGGGTGGATTTGGGAGTCTGCTTTCATTCCCTCCCCATTGCACCCTTGCCTTGGTTTTGCAGAATTTGCTGAAATTTCGGAGCCACTGGCTGGCCTGGGCCACCTGCCCCAGTGGAAGAACAGCTCTGTGTGGGCTGCAGGAGCCCGTGGCTGGCCTGAACGCTAGTGCCCTGCAGCAGGGCCGTGCCACATGGGCTCTGTGGGTGGATTTGGGAGTCTGCTTTCATTCCCTCCCCATTGCACCCTTGCCTTGGTTTTGCAGAATTTGCTGAAATTTCTCCGCTGCTGCGATGCGAGATCTCAGCTCCCCTCCCACGGCCGCCTCCCACTCCTGCCAGGGCAGCACTAGATTTTCTTCCCCTTTCCCCTAAAGGGCCCCCCTGCCCGGGCAGCCCTAGATTTTCTTCCCCTTTCCCCTAAAGGCCCCCCCCCCCAACTACCCCGTTCTGTGGAAGCCAGGCTGGGGTTCAGCCAGAGAAGTGCTTTCTTTATCTGCCTCGCTGGAGTAGGAGTGTGCGGCCTGCTGGGGCCTACGCCAGCCCCCAGCGCAAAAGACACTGCCAAGAAAAGGGAAGAGCAGCCCCAGCCCTCTTCCCGGAGCTGGGCTCGCAGAAACAGCCCCTCCGGAACGGCCCGATCCCTTGTCCAGCAGACGCGCCCGCGCGCACACCCTAGCAAAGACCACCCGCCCCCTCCCCACGCCGCACTGCGGGGAAAGGTTAGCCAACGAACCGCAAACGTGAACCAGAGGGGCTTCAGCCAATCAGATCTTTCCCCTGCGAAAATCCCTTTCATACCAAGACAAGCAAATCGGCAGAAGTAAATCCAGCTAGGAATTTTGCCAAGCCAACGGGGCTGGGGTGGGGGTGGGGGGTGGGGAATCTTTTCCTTGGTAACCCAGGCCTGGGTAGGGATTCCATTGTAACACACCTAACCCTTTGTGTACCGCACACTTCAGCAGCGGGTCCCAGGGAAAGGGGGGCTGCGTAGCCACAAAAGCAAGCATCCAGCTTAACACATCGCACCTGGAGGCCCCAGCTCCCTCAGCCTCCAGGCCAGGATCCCTCAGAAAAGCAACAGGCAGGACAACTGGGTGCAGTGATGAACAGGCATTTTCACAGAGGGGACGGGGGGGAGGTGCACAGGGACGTTGGGCTTGGCCTCCCCCCCCCCATCCCATTCATGGCGGAAGGATCTGCCCCCTCATCCTGCTTCGAGACGGGCACCATGCCGGTTGGAACAGCAAAGCAGCGGGTGCTTTGTGGTTCTGGCGCCCAGTGCAAAACATCCTCCCCTTTCCCTCATGCTCCGCTCCCGAGTGCTCCCTCACACCACTCTGGGCCTGCCCACAGCACCCCGCCACTCCAGCCCTGCTCCTCTCTCCTGCCCGGGTGCATCCCAGCCCTGCCCCGCCAAGGTTTGCGACTGCTTCTCAGGCCATAGCTCTCCGCTCCCCTACTCTCCAGGGCCAGTTCTCTCTTGGGCCAAGACTTTCCGTCATGCAGCCCCATGGGCTGACGTGCCACCCAGAGAGCCCTAGCCACACAAGCCAGGGTTTGACTCTCCACAAGCCAACGCACGAGTCCCTCTCCCAGCCCCACCCACAGGCGACCCTGAGGGGAGCTCTCTAGGTTGCAGGTTTCAGCAGGTCCCTTCCCAGGTCAAAGTTCTAAGACGCGGGAGAAAACTCCCGCTTGGAGGGCTCACATGCATCCCTCGGGGAGGGACGGCCGCCATGCTGTAGTCTAGCCTCCCCGGCCTGGCTGGTCTCTCAGCTCGCACCTTCCCAGCCACCTTGCCTGCAGGGTCACCTTCGCAAAAACCCAAGCCAAGGGTGCGTGCGATAAGGCGCGTCAGCTGAACGGCTCTGGGGCTACAACAGAACTGATAACGGCTGCGGGGTGGGTGGGGAGGGGCAGTGCTTTACCTACTAGCAATAAATCCAAGGAAGGACCTCTCTCAGCAAGAGGCTGGAGGCCTTTGAGCCCACCGCAAAAGGGACGGTGAGCAGCTGGGCTCTGAAGCCGGACACTCCCTGTCCCCAGCTGACAGCTGGCACAGTTCTTTGCAGAGCCAGTCCCCACATCCCACCATTTCTGATCCCTCCTGGCCAGTGCTGCGAATCTCCTCCCCTCCATCTTCAGCCCTTCTTCTGGTCCTCTGAGTGCCCCTGTTCGTCTCTGTGGGGCAGAAAGTATCTCTGGAATGTCTTAAGAGCATCTCGCTGCCTGAAAACGGCTGTTCAGTAGGGACTGTTACCAAAAGCCAGCTTAGGTGATTAATCAAAAGCTAATACCTCTCTTTCGAGTCACGAGCTCCGAACGACGTTCACACAGTGCCCCTCCTCCCCTCGCAACGGGGGATTAAAAGGGAGCAGGGAAGCCACAGAAAATGGACCTGCGAAGCTGAACGCCCCAAAAGGAGACAGAACCACCCATCTCGAAGTCCCAGTCAAAGGGAGAGGGAGCAGCGCGCAGCAGCAACCGGTCAATGAGCTCAGATTCCCGTTGCTCAAAAGAGAAGCGCTACCTCCAACAAACACCATCCATAACTCTCAGCCGCACACACCCAGGCTCCATAGACCACTCCAGAGTCCCCCCGCCACACACCGTTCCAGAGGCTGCAGCGCAAACCCTGCGGCCTCCCCAAGCGTCTCCAAAACTCAGTGACCCAAATTCTGTCTTCAGCCACCGTGCAGTGAACCTGCAGCGACGCTGTCGACCTCAGCAGAGTTGCCTTGCGCCTCCCATGTTAACATGAAAGCAGAATTTAACTCATCCCTGAGCCATTTCAAAAGCTTCCCGCTTCCACACCCTTCTGGGACTCCCGCCCTTTCGTAATCCTTTGCAGTCACTCTTCCCGCCAGACTCCCCAGCCTTCAGCTTGTGCTGCTGGGTCGTGCTCTGACCCAGATACCCAACGCCTCCCCAGAATGCTCACTGGCACTGCCTCCCTTTACACCCTCCCAAAGCCTCCCTCCACGCTCCAGAATACCCCTGGAGGCTCCATGGAGTCCCCCCCGCCCCGTTCCCTCCCCAAGGGGCTGGAAGACAGTGTGGGGAGCCACACAGGCACAGTTCGCTTGGGAAGAATGGGATGGCGTTGGTTCCTCACCGGAGGAGTCGGGAGCTGGGAGCGCAGAGGCCCCTGTACGTGGGAGAATGTCAGGAATCCCACTGTTTGGACTGGTTTTCTCTGCCTTCCCCAGACTTCCCCACTCGATCAGCTTCCGAACGGAGCCTGCAGCGCCCTGCCCACCTCCTTTGTGTTTTCAGCTCGCAGCTCATCTCTAGGCACCGCGAGGCTCCCAGGCACCCGATCAGCACGCCACAGGCACCTGCTTGTGCCACCCGGCTCTGGGGACCCCGAAGGGATCCTGGGGACCCTCACGCACGTCTCAGCTCCCCGGATCCTGTGTGAAGCGAGCGCCTGAGGACTGTGGTGTTTTGCTGCTCGCTGAAAGGGTTAACAGCGCCCTTCCCCTTCCAGTCATTGTATTTACGGGTCTTGGAGATTAAACCCAGAATTCACCTTGAGTGATAGGCTGATAAGTTTATGGCATTTCTATTTATAACAGTCCCTCCCCCGTCTATACTTGCTCTGCTGCCTGTCTTCTAATCACCCATAATCCTTCCCAGGTCACCAGAGGGGTGGGAGGTAGGAGAGCAACTGACAGAGAGCAGCATCCTGGGATGCCTTAATGAGAACCAGATGTGAGTGCTTGGAGAGGATGACAAGGTCAACCATTTTAATGGGCTGCTGCATTTCAGCGCGGGGAACGAGTGAGCACGAGCAGAGCTCCCCAGGGCGGGAACTACAAAGAGAGGATGCCAGGCCAACAAGGGGCCGCAGGCATCCTGGGGGCAACGCCGCCCCACGTCAGCGTGGGCTGAATTCCGCTCTTGGTTACGCTGCTGTCTCAGAGCAGAATCCGGCCTTTGAGGTCCCATTGCTGAGCTGTGGAAACCAAGGAGCAGAGACCCACTTTGGGTGGCGTTAAGAACTGACCCGACTCACTGGCCAACCCAGAGCCGGACCCTGAACAAACCTTCCCAAAGCGTCCATGCAGGTTGGCCTTCTCCCCAACTGCTTGCTGGTGTTTAGGGGGCCCCCGCCCCATGCGCTACCGGCGCCAGCGCGGTGAGGTACCAAGGGCCGGGAGTGAGGCTAGCCGCAGGGACGGCCCCTGACATGCCATTGCCAGCGGGCTCCTGCGAACACGCACAATAGGTTGTGAAATCAGCCTGCTGGGCTGTAGCATCCGCACATTCCCAGCGCCGGGCTCCGCTGGCAGCCCCCCGCTGTTTACACTTCCCGCCCTGCTGATTGGCCGGGGGCCTGGCTGTGAGTCTGAAGAATCTACTGGAGAGATTTCTAACCAAACACAGCCTAAGCCTGAGGAGCTGGGGGCTTGTGGGGGGGCGGGGGAGCAGCTACGCTCCAGCTCCTCTTCCTCATCCCCTGCCACCCTGGGCACCCCTCCTTCCAACCAGGCTAAGCCCCAGTGGGCCCGACTGCCACAGCAAAGGCTTGTCCCACACACAGGCCCTCCCTTAAGGACACCAGAAACACATATGTTCGAACAGCTCCAATACCCCCCCAATGCATCCCCACCAAGTGAGATGGGGGAGACAGGGATGAGAGGCAGCATCGGGGACCAATTCAGTTCTGCCCACTATGGACATGGGACACCCAGGGAGTCGGGGGCGGCACCGATGCCCTGCTCCCCCTGAAAGCTCATGCCCGAATAAATCTGAGAGTTTCTAAGGTGCCAGGAAACTCCAGGGATTTTTTGAAGATACAGATGGACACGGCTCCCGTCTGGGACTTCTGTCCCGCCTGTGACATGAGACACATGGGCCTCAGATGAGGGCCCTACCAGTTGGCTCAGGAGACCAACCCAGCCAAATCTGCTAAGGGGACAGACAGACTAAAATAGACACAGACAGACACACTCTCAACTCTGTGCAGTGCTACAGGGTCCGGCCCCTTTCCCTGGGACCTTTGGGGGTTTGATCAGTTGCCTGCCCTCCTTCCCAGCCACAACCCACGCCTCCCCCCCGCCCCTCCCCAAGATATGCAGTCCAGCATTCCTCGTTAATTATGCCCTTTACTACCTGACTGTAACATTAACCAGTCACTCCCAGGAGAGGTGACTCCTGTAACCAGAGCAGGAGGCAAAGCTGAACCCCTCCTTCCCCAAATGCTTCGGAGACCACCCCGGAGCAAGACCCCCTCTGCCCTAGGAAGGAGCCCGGCTGCTCCCTACACACTCCGAGCCTCAGTACAGGAGTGAGGAGGGCAGCCCAGCGGAGCAAGAACTTGCCTCACTGGTGACCTGAGCTCCCACCACCTCAAACACACACAAAGCATGAACTCCTGGGTCACTTTCACCTGGGACTTGCCCTTAGCTGCCCCTGCAGGACAATCTGCTTCCCAGGATTGCAGGGATTTCCTGCAATAATTCCCCCAGAAACAAAAGGGCCAGACCCGTGGCTGGTGGAAACTGATGTAACTTCAGGGACGTGAACTGCTTCCAAGTCCACAGAGCTACTCGGATTCACACCAGCGGAGGGGCTGGCATTGCTTCAGGGCCCAAAGCGCCCCCACAGAACCAGAACCACAAGCCCAAGCCCATCTCTAGAAGCCTGCCTTCTGTTTTGTCCCCTAGGCATCACATTCTGCACAGCCTGCCACAGAGATGGGCCTCTCTTCCCCCAGGGTGCGGAGCCACACTGCTCTTCCTCTGGTCTCGCTGCAAGATAGGAAGCTCCAGCCTTATCTTGGGGGGGGGGTCTGAGGTCACACACCCCTCAGGAGCACCCATCAGACCCCAGGCCAAAGGCACCTCCAAGCCCCCTGCCCTTGTTTCATTTTGCAAAGGGGCAAGTGAACAGACTTGAAAGTCTCATTCAAAGCCACAACAGCCTGACGGCAGAGAGGCCGACGCGCCTCCTCGTACTGTCCAACTTCCCCGGAGCGCCTCTGTCCCAGGACATGCTGGGCCACAAGCGGATCCCCGCCTCGTGGGAAGCAGCACTTCCCCACGTGCAGTCCTGGGGAATCAAACACACACAACAGGATCAGAACCTGGCCCTTGGCAAACGGGGGTAGACACGGGCATCCCTCCACCCACCGCAGATGGAGCGGCCGGTAGCGTCTGCTTTAGCAAGCAGGCTGGGAAGCTCAGAGGTTCCTGCCTCCAGAGAAAGCTACGGGAGCAGAGGAGGGAGATTTTCGGGACTAGATGCACAAAAGGATCATCAATGGCCACAAATTCCTCATCTCACAGACAGAGGGGAACCTCTCGGGCAGCGCAGCACAGCGTCCCCTAGAGCCGGGCAGCAGAGCACCCCAATGACACCTCTCCCGGCACCGAGCTACTGCACTGAATCACGCCCACCTTCTCCTTCCTGCACGACAGCGCACTCCCTCTAAAAGTGACAGAACCAGCCCCACCATCAGCCGCCCTAGTGTGGGGCCCGCTGAATCACCAGCAGCCGCTTGCACTGTGCACGTGCCCTCGCCTCCAAAACAGTCCCCCCCCTCCTCCCCGGGGGAACGTAACTTAACATTTCTTACAGATACCGTCCTATTGCAACCCGGGGCCCGCCAGCTCTCGAAATAGCTCCCCACTGGCTTTTGCCGCAGCTCAGCCGGCTCCAGGGAGCACCCGCGTACTTTCACCCCCTCCAGCCACCACGCACTCCTGACTCACCAGCACAACACGCACGCCCCAGCAGCATGCAGCACCCAGCTTACAATGCCAGCCCTGCCCCGCCCCCACCCAGCGCCGAACCACCAACGTCCCCCGCGGCAACACGCAGGAACGAACCCTCGACCCCACCGCCCACTGCAACGCAGCAGGAGTGAGCCGTCGCCTGCTGCCCCCAGCCCCGTGCATCACTTCCTCCTCACTGTTGCCCTCCACTGCACATGCCCCCTGCCTCACTGACGGGTCTCCAAGGCAAGCGTTTCCCTAGCGCCTCCCAGGACCGCATCCTGCCATACCCCGGTGTTCCCCACCAGCTTCCCATGCCAACCTGGCCCGACTTAGCTTGCACTCTGGCAATCACAGGGCCTCCTCCCTTTTTAAGCACAAGATCACTTTTTGAATTTAAGTCAGGCCAGAATCTACCTCAAGCCCAAATACCCCTGCCCTGTCCCTTCTCCAAGGCCCCACCCCATTGCCGAGGTCCCGCCCTCCTCACTCTGTGAAGACAGGGGACAGAGTAACATCAGTGCCCCCTGCCTCTGTCTCCCCCACGCTGTACAACAAGCAGGCGGCTCCCAGGCGGCTGGCTCTGGGCAGGAGCAGCAGGGCAGTGCAGGAAGGGGCAACTGAAGTGCCAATGCTGGATTATCCCCCAGCCAAACCATCCAGGACCACGTGTCAGAGGCTCCAAGATCTTCCGGTAGATCCCGATCTGCTGGTGGGTGACCACTGCTCTACACACTGAGAAGGCAACTTTCTCTCAGCGATTCCTGGTGTTTCGTTTTGCTTGGCATGGTGGCTTGCCCGCCTCCTGCCAGTCTCACCTCCTTGCCATCCCCTCCCACCAGGTGCTGCGTGGCTGTTCCTAGCGCTCTGGACAGCAGGTGAGCTAAGCCGGCCTGCACTGAGGTGAGCTGGCTTCCCCCGGGCCTTTGGAAAAACAGGGGGTGTCGTGAGGCATTTCCCCACATCACAGTACTGGGAGCTGCCCACTCCTTCACGGGGCTATGAAGCTGTGCAGCCGGAGGGCACAAGGCACAGTGAGTGGAGATGGGCAGCCATGCAGAAGAAATGCCCCAACCAAGCCCTTCTCCTGGAATCTCCCCCTCTCCCTGTTCCTGGCCACTTCTCCTCCTCCTCCCACCCCTGCAGGGTCTCCCCTCTCCCGCTTCCCCCCGCCTCTCTTCCCATCCCTTCTCCTCCTCCTGTTATATCCTACTGCCTCCTCTCCACCTCCCTGCCGCTCCCCCAGGCCTCGTCCTCCATTCCACTGGCCTACCCCTTCCTCCATCCAGCCTCTCCACCCTTCTCCTAGCCTCCCCTCTGCCAGCTGTGAGCATTGGCATGGATGGAGCCATTGTCCTCCGGGCACGGGGAGGGAGGAGGAGGGGGAAGGTGTGAGGGGAGACACAGTGGAGCGTTTGTGCATGTCCATGCTGCTCCCCCTCCACCGCCGCCGTCAATGGGCTGCTTGTCAATTCATGCGCTAAGATGGCGGAAATCGCAGCTCACACACAAGTGCTGCCATTTGGCGGTGGCAAAGGCGCCTGCTCGGGAGGGCACATTGGCCTGTTTGTGCGGAACCCCGGTTTCGCTGCCACGGAGAAAACGGCCGGTTCTCCCTCGGGGGGCTATTGGGGAGGGGGTAGGCCAGCAGGGCAAGAACAGGGAGCATTCCCCTTGCTGGAACCCGGCTCATTTTCCTGACCGCATCATACCCAGCGCGGCGCCAATGCCAACGTAGCCGCCATATCACACCAGCCCACAATCGGGCACCCCCAGGAGGTGCACTGATGAGTCAAGTTGCGGAGGGGTGGGGGGGTCTGCTGCCCTCGCACACCAGCCAGAGGACCCCTGGTCATGGGCCGGTCACAGCCCAGTCCCATCCCTGCCCAGAGGTGCCCCAGGCCAGCTACCGCTGCACCTCCTCTCCCTTCCCCAGACCCAACCCGCTATGGGGCAAAGCCTCTCCCAAATATGCGTCTGGCATGCCCTATGCAGTTCCGGGCTGGCTGAGCCGGGAATAGGGCACCCAGCCATCCCGGAACCTGCACAGGCCATAGGGTTTTAAAAATCATAGATGTCATGATTTCAGCTATGTCAGTCGGACATTTCAGTGCTGTAATTGTCAGTATTCCGGCCCAAAAGGTGTTGTGTATCTGTGTTGGGGGGGGCGTGGTTTGCAAGGTTATTGCGGGAGGTTGGTGTTTCTTCTGCGCTGCCTTTGGAGCTGGGCAGCCAGACAGCGGGAGCTGCTGGTTGGGATCCCAGCTCTAAAGGCAGAGCCGCTGCCAGCAGCAGCGCAGGAAGATGGCATGGCGTGGTACTGCCACCCTGACTTCTGTGCTGCCACCTGCTGAGCTAGGTCCTCAGTCAGCAGCCGCCACTCTCCATCTGTCCGGCTC